TAGATAGATAGATAGATAGATAGATAGATAGATAGATAGATAGATAGATAGATAGATAGTTGTGTGTAATGGTGAACTTCTCAATGTATGGAATGCCAAAGAATAGATTGCATTTTTTACAGCATACAAACATTCCTTTGGGCATTGTTCACATGATTTATTTGGTCAGTAAGTTCTTAATCATGACTTAAAGGTCAACTCTAAGCTAGCCCCTGTCCAAGTCATCACCTATTTGGTGGAGTCTAAACCAGGGTTATTGCACATAGAAGTGGATTAAGGCAGATGAAATTTTCCTTCAAACTGTCATTTGAATATGGTTTTCTTATAAATATAAAACAAAATATGAACTGTTTGAGTAAAGCCACAGGATAATTGATGAGAAGTCTCATTAAAGCTAATAGAATGCAGTAAACAATCTATAACAGTATAATTTTATTTAATCCGGGTGAATTTCTGTGATATCCTTGTGTACTTACTCATGTGGGGATATTGAGCCCAACTACAAGTTGGCTTAAACCACCTGGCTAAAAAGGAGAGTATCTGACAGCTCAAAGCAGAGCCCCAAATAGGAAAAATAAGAATAAAGCTTTACCCAAGAAAAAGCACTTGCTCCATTTTAATTGTTATTACTGAGGCAAATACTTGACTTTTTTTTTTTCATTTAAAGTTACTGAAAAAAGATGTGTATATTTTTTTTTGGAGGGGGTGGGTCAAGGTGCTAAATTTTATTTTGTTTCTATGGAAAAACGTCTTCAATTTAGTAATACACATTAGTAGGATTTACTTAACAAAGATTAGTTTTACAGCCGGTTTTGTTTAAGCAAATTTACCCTTTAAAGTATGGGATATCAGTGTCTTGTTCCCTTTACTGTTGAGAGAGAACTCTGTTCACACTGGAGAATATTTTCCTACTTCCCTTAGCCTAGAAAACTCATTGTTGCTGCTGCTTCTGAGAGAGACCCTAATCAGTAACGTGGATAACACATCTCTCTTCTTCTCTAGAAAGTAAGTGTATATGAAATAGTGCATTTAGCTCCCACGGATTAATTGTAGTAAGAAAGACCTTTGGAGCGAGGTGTACAGACAGTGCTGCAGACAATCCGGTGAGAATGATAGGAAGCTGTGAAATTGTGGCTCTTCTCTAGATTGACTACAAGCATCATCAGACCCTAAATCTCATCTCCACAGTAGACTTTCAGTACAGACTGTCAGACAGACTGGGCCTGAAGGAATAAGTGTGCTGGTAGTGAATTGTACCTTCAAAATTGTGAAAAAGACATTCTGATTAAAACCTCTATGTATGGATGATAATTTCATTAGCAGTCTCAATTCTTATACTTGGATAAATTCTAGATTGTGTTGCTAGTGCCGTCAATGTGATTGTTATATCATCATAACACCTAAGAAAGAAAACAATGATTTTACTGATAAAAGGTGAGGTATGAGGGCAGCACGGTGGTACAGTGGATAAAGCACTGGTCCTGGACTCAGGAGGACCTGAGTTCAAATGTGGCCTCAGATACTTGACACTTAGTAGCTGATCCTGGGCAAGTCACTTAACCCCAGATTGCCTGCCCCTCTCCCCCCGCCAAAAAAAGTCAGGTTTTCTTTGTTGCAAGATGTATTTGTTAACTTTTTCCAACTTTAATTCTAGTTTTACAATTACTACTATGACTGTAATTCCTACATTAGAAGAATAACTTTTTGGAATTACATTTAGTGGATAGAAATAACTAGGAAGATAATAAGCAGATATTTTAAGTGATTTGAAAGGTTTGATAATCCATGTCAAGACAGCTCTGCAGTTAAAAGGAGACTCAATTTTTAACAAGTAAAAGCTTTGGTTGATATATCATTAAACTTTGTATTAAAAACTATAAATCCTTTGATGTTACTTTGCTAAATAGATAACCCTCAATCTTAAACTGAAAGTTTTTCACTTTTTTTTTTTCCATTTTAACTAGGCCAGCACCAAAGTGGAAGTGGATATGGAAAAAGCAGAGAGCCTACAAGTGACAAGAGGAGACTTCCTTGCTTCTCTGGAAAATGATATCAAACCAGTGAGTATGTCTAGTGAACTATAGAAACAATAACATAGTCTAGAAGAAAAATAATTGCTTCTCTAATCAACATGATTATTAAAGATAGTGTTGCTTTTGTACCCAGCGAATTTCATAGAACCATGGACTCAGAATTGGAAGGGACTTTAGAGGTTATTTCAAACCTCCCACTCAGTGTTAGAATGTACTCTATTATATTCTCTACTGATGATTGTCTATCCTTTGTTAGAAAACTTCTCGTGACAAGAAGCACTATTTTTAGCAGTTTTAATTCTTAGGAAGTTCTTCCTTGTTGAATTAAAATTTTTCTCTATTTAAACTTCCATCCATTGGTCCCAAATCTGCCTAAATAAATCCAGAACTTCTATATGTGCCCTTCAGATATTTGAAGACAATGATTATATCTTCCTTAAGTGTTTACAAAGCTAAGTGTTCTGAACTAAGGAATGTTTCATCTGACAATTTCCAGACTTGTTACTTTTCTCTGGAGTATGTAAATGTCTTTCTTAAAACGTGGCTCTCAGAACTAAACACAGTCCTTCTGGTGTGGTCTGAGTGGGGTCCAGCACAGAATCCTGCCATCTTCCATATTCTGGACAACAATATTAGCCATGCTTATTGAGTGCCTGTTGTGGCCAGAGCACAAGAGGGAACAATAAAAAGGAAATTTCAGTGCTTATTTTAGTTACAAACTGTCTCCTTCTTAACTCCATTTTAGTCTTTTCTGTGTATTTTAAAAATATTTCATTGATGCTCTATTCTTTTTTCTCTTACTTCCCCCTTTTTTTGTGTTACTAGCCCACTTCATTGTCTCATCCACCTCCTCCCACATAAAAGTCCTTCTTTGTAACACACACACATATATATATATACAGTCAAGCAAATAAATTTATGCTGGAACAGTCATGTCCAGAAATGTGTTTATTCCATGCCTCCAGTCTATCTTCATCAAGAGGTGGGAGGTGTGCTCTATCATCCATCCTCTGGAGTTATGATTGGTCATTTTATTGATAAGAGTTATTACGTCTTTCAGAGTTATTTTCCTTTACAGCACTGTGGTCGTTGTAAAAATAGTTTTATTAATTCTGCTCACTTTGTTGTTCAGTCATTTCAGTCATGTCTGACTCTTCATGAATCCATTTGCGGTTTTCTTGGCAAACATATTGGAGTACTTTACCATTTCTTTCTCTGACTCATTTTACAGATGAGAAAACTGAGGCAAACAGGGTTAAGTGACTTGCCTGGGATTACAGCTAGTGAATATCTGAGACTAGATTTGAACTCAGGAAGATGAATTTTCCTGACTCCAGGCTGGGCACTCTATCCACTGTGTCACCTACCTCCCTTCTTGCTCACTTAATTCTGCATCAGTTCATGCAAGTGTTCTCAGGTTTCTTTGAATCTAGCCCTTTCACCATTTCTTAGAGCACAATATTAACCCAATACATTCATATATCATAATTTGTTCATCCATTCCCCAATTGATGGGCACCCACTTTCTTTCCAGTTCTTTGCCACCTCAAAAATACTACTATAAGTATTTTTGTGTATTTGAGTCCTTTCCCTCTTTCTTTGATCTTTTTGCCTAATAATGGTATCACTGGGTTAAAGGGTATATAAAGCATTGTGATTTTTGGGATATAGTTTTAAATTGCTTTCCAGAATGATTGGAACAGTTCACAGGTCTATCAGAAGTTCATTATCAGACCTCTCCTTCCACAGACACTCCAACAGTGGCAATTTTCCTTATTGGTCATCTTTGCCAATCTCACAGGTATGAGGTGGAACCTTAGAGTTATTTAAATTACCTGTCTCTTTTTACTAGTGATTTGAAGATTTTTTTCATATTTTTGTTGATATCTTGCATTTCTTCAGTTGAGAAATGCCTGTTCATAGAACTTATCTATGGGCATTGATTCTTGTTCAATCTTATGTATTCAAAATTTTCCATGACCTTATCTCAAAATTCTTCCCCATCATACCTGCAAAAAGTTGCTTTTGTTCTCTAGTAATTCTTTTATATTACAGTCATTTATATACAGTTCTTGTATCCATTTGGGGGTTATTACTGTTATCTAATGTGAAGTGTTGATCTAAACCTACATGGCTTTCCATTTTTCCTAGCAGTTTTTGTTGAATTATAAGGTTTTTCTCCAGTAGTTGGAGCTTCAGGTTTGCGATTGCATTTTGTGTACCTAATCTGTTCAGTTAATAAACTTTTCTATTTTTTAACCAGTACCAATTGTTTTGATAATTACTGCTTTGTAATACAGTTTGAGATCTGGTACTGCTAAGCTATTTTCTTTTCTACATTTACATTATTTCTTTTGAGATCTTGACATTGTTCTCCACAAGATAAATTTTATTCTAATTTTGCCTAAAAATTCTAGAAAGTTGTTGTAGTTCTAAAAAGTAATCCTTGAGTAGTTTAATTGGCACAGCACAAGTTTGTAAATTAATTTAAATAGTATTGTCTTTGTGATGTTAGAGGGAATTACTTAATTGTGTTTGGTGTTTTCTCTTGTTTTCTTACATTTACAGCCTTAGTTCTTGGTTTGGGATTTGGTTCTTGGGCCAGCCCTCTTGGGTGGGTTGGGTGAGTCATGTTTGGTTCTGTCCATGCTGCAAACTGGATGTTGCTGCCACTGCTCAAGCTGTATAGGGAGACTGGTATTTGGCTCCATCCTCTGCCTCAACCCCTGGCTTCTTTCTCAGTCTCCTGGTTGCCCACTGTGGCTTCAGACCTCTACTAGTCTCTTTCTCCTTCTCTTTGCACAGTTCTCAGTCTGGAGCTGGTTCCATCCTCTGCTGTAGCTTTAACAGCCTGCAGTAGGTTAAGGAAGATCAAGAGGTCTCAGCCTTCCTGAGGCTAGTGCCTAGGTGCCGAATTTGCTCTGTCTCGTATTCTGGCTCCCAGTGCTCTCAGGAGTGTACAACCAGGCTCCCTTTTCCTGTGTAGTGACCTCTCTGGAAGGCAGCTCTGTCTCCGCTTGTGTTCTGACAAGGCAGGGCCAGGATCAGGCTTCAGGCACACAATTATTTAGAGCTGATGCTTCCTTGTGATGACTTTAGATCCATTTGCAGGAATGTATACATATCCTTTCCTTTCCCCACATCTGCCAGCTTCTGGCCTCTATAGTTGGAGCTAGTTTCCCCAGCATGACCCTCTCCTTGCCTCAGTCGCTTCTGCATTTACCTGATCTGACTTTGACTTCTCTAGTTAAGTCCCTCTATCTCACCCCCCCTTCCTTCTGGCCATCTTTCTGTGTAGTTCTAGAATGGATTGACTTATAATTCTCTTCGGATTTCTTCACCATTGGTTTTCCTTGGACTGTTTATATGGGAGACTGGGCTTTTTATTCCATCTTAACCAGAATTCTATGAATAAATTTTAATAGTTAGTCATTTATATTTTGGAAATGAAAACTGCCTCAGTAATTGGCTAGATTGAGATGAAGAAGTGATCTGATAACACCTGAATAGTTTCAAAGGTGATAGAGAAGATAGAGGAAACAGAGAAACAAGAACTGTTAAGCATTCACCTCTTTTTTTTTCTTTTGTAAATAGTATTTTATTTTTTCCAATTATATGTAAAGATAATTTTTAACATTCATTTTTATAAGATTTCGAGTTATGATTTTTTCTTCCTTCTTCCCTTCCCAACCCCCTCCCCAAGATGGCAAGCAATCTGATACAGGTTATATATGTGGAGTCATGGAAACATTTCCACGTTAGTCATAAAGTGAAAGAAGAAACAGAACAAAAGGGAAAAGCCAAAAAGAAAAAAAAAGAAAGTGAAAATAATATGTTTCAATATGCATTCAGACTCCATAGGTCTTTCTTTAATGGGGATAGCATTTTCCATCATGAGTTTTGGATCATTGTATTGCTGAGAAGAGTTAAGTCAATCATAGTTGATCATCATATTATGTTACTGTTACTGTGTACGGTGTTCTGGTTCTGCTCACTTCACTCAGCACCAATTTATGTAAGTCATTCCAGGTTTTTCTGAAATCCACCTGCTCATCATTCCTTATAGCACAATAGTATTCCATTACATTCATATATCACAACTTGTTCAGCAATTCTCTAATTGATGGTTATCCCCTCAATTTCCAATTCTTTGCCACCACAAAAAGAGCTGCTATAAATATTTTTCTACATGTAGGTCCTTTTCCCTTTTTTATGATATCTTTGGGATACAGACCTAGTAGTGGTGTTGCTAGATCAAAGAGTATGCACAGTTCCATTGTCCTCTGGGCATAGTTCCAAATTGCTCTCCACAATAGTTGAATCAGTTCACAACTCCACCAACAATGCATTAGTGTCTCCAGTTTTCCCACATCTTCCACAACATGTATCATTTTGCTTTTCTGTCATTTTAGCCAATCTGATAGGTGTGAGGTGTGGTACCTCAGAGTTAATAATTTATATTTCTCTAATCAATAGTGATTTAGAGCATTTTTTCATAAGACGATAGATAACTTTAATTTCTTCATCTGGAAATTGCCTGTTCATATCCTTTGACCATTTGTAAATTGGGGGATGACTTGTATTCTAATAAATTTTACTCAGTTCTCTATATATTTCTAGAAATGAGGCCTTTGTCAGAAACAGTTATATAAAAATTATTTCCCATCTTTCTGCTTTCCTTCTAGTCTTGGTTGCTGTGGTTTTGTTTGTGTAAAAACTGTTTAATGTAATCAAAATTATCCGTTTTGCATTCCATAATGCTCTCTATCTTTTGTTTAGTCATAAATTCTTCCCTTCTTCATAGATTGACAGGTAAACTGTTCCTTGCTTTCCTAATTTGCTTATGACATCACCCTTTATGTCTAAATCATGTACCAATTTTGACCTTATCTTCATATGCAGTGTGAGATGTTGGTCTATGCGTAGTTTCTGCCATACTGTTTTCCAGTTTTCTTAGCAGATTTTGTCAAACAGAGAGTTCTTACCCAGAAACTGGAGTTTTGGGGTTTATCAAACAATAGATCACT